GTCAGAGGCGGCGGGCCGCTGGGTGCAGCGGCGGGCCGGCAGGTGCAGCGGCGGGCCGGCAGGAGCAGCGGCGGGCCGGCAGGGGAGGTGGCGGAGCCGCGTCAGGGGAGGCGGCAGGGCCGCGTCAGGGGAGGCGGCAGAGCTGCGCCAGGGGAGGCGGCGGGGCCGCGTCAGGGGAGGCGGCGGAGCCGCGTCAGGGGAGGCGGCGGGGCCGCGTCAGGGGAGGCGGCGGGGCCGCGTCAACCAGGCGGCGGGGCCGCGTCAGGGGAGGCGGCGGGGCCGCGTCAAACAGGCGGCGGGGCCGCGTCAGGGGAGGCGGCGGAGCCGCGTCAGGGGAGGCGGCGGGGCCGCGTCAGGAGAGGCGGCAGGGACGCGTCAAACAGGCGGCGGGGCCGCGATCAGGAGAGGTGGCGGGGCCGCGTCTGAGGGACAGCGGGGCCGCGAGAGAAAAGGCGACCCGAGGGGTCGCTAAAAAAAGGCGCGCCTCGGGGCGCGCTTCGGTGGGCCCTAAAAAAAACGGTCCTAAGGCAGGACCCGCTCTATACCATGTGAAGCAAGGAAAACAGGAATGAAATGACTATGGAAGATTGGGTACAAAAATACAACCCTGGAAACTCTGTACCTCATATGTGCTACCCCACTATAGCCTACAGAAACTATGTCATATAAATCTGACACAAATAGCAAACCCTAGAAGGGTTGTACTCGTTATAGAGCACCCCACTACATGCTAGAACATAAGAATAATATTCTGACACACCCCCATAGCCAAAGTGGGGTGTAATCAGCAGAGCAGGCAAAGCAAAACAAGCTCAGGGTGGATCACAATGTCACCACACATTCTGAGCACAAGTTCAAGAAGAAATCGTTTAGAGTTCACAATTATAAGCAAAGTTAGTGGTAGTCACAACGGGCAAGTGAGGAGGAGGAGGGAGAGTGAGGGGAGAGGAGACAGGAGGCGACGGCTGAAGCTGCAGACACACGGGCAACAGGAGGCAGACTGGCACAGCGGCTACCGGACAGCGCCCGGACTACAGGAGTAACAGGCCCCGCGGCTCAAATAGCGGCGGACGGGCAACGGACCCACGGGCGGCTGGCACAGCTGGCTACGACTGGGCTACCGGGACAGCGCCCCGGACTACAGGTGCTGCGGACGACCATCCGGCAGCCTCCGCTCAACCTCCCGCAAACAGTCCCACCCCCCTGATACACACCCACTGCTACACCGCTAGCTCTACTCCCACGCACCCCCCCTTAAACCCTAAACCCCAGTCTCCCACACAACCACCCCTCTCAGCGACAGCTGCAGTAGTGGGAGACGAAGGAGGAGGAGGAGCAAGGGAGGAAGGCACACCGGCCACCCCCATACCCGCCACCCCACAGCTCGCCCCTCCCGTCGTCCGTCGCGGCTCCTTCGGGGGCTGCGGCCCCCTCAGGTCGCCTCGACGGACGACGGGAAATGGCAGGGGGAAGGGGGGGTGGGGGGGGGGGGGTGTGGTGAAAGGGGCCCACCACGGGCCTGGTTGGAGGGCGGGGCCGCGACAAGGGGCGGGACCGCGACGGTCGGGGCGGGGCCGCGACGAGGGGCGGGGCCGCGACGTAGAGCGGGGCCGCTTCGAGGGGCGGGGCCGCGACGCAGGGCGGGGCCGCGACGTAGGGCGGGGCCGCGTCGAGGGGCGGGGCCGCGACGGTCGGGGCGGGGCCGTGACATAGGGCGGGGCCGCTTCGAGGGGCGGGGCCGCGACGCAGGGCGGGGCCGCGACGTAGGGCGGGGCCGCGACGTAGGGCGGGGCCGCGTCGAGGGGCGGGGCCGCGACGGTCGGGGCCGCTTCGAGGGGCTGGGCCGCGACGCAGGGCGGGGCCGCGACGTAGGGCAGAAGCCCGCCGCGCGCCTCGGGGCGCACAGCGGGCAAAGAACCGCCGCGCGCCTCGGGGCGCATGGCGAGCAGAAAACCGCCGCGCGCCTCGGGGCGCACGGCGGGAGGAAAAAGTAGCAGCGGAAGCGAGGTGGTAACCCACCCACAGGATCAATCCAAATGGATCGACCTGCTCTGATAGCATGACAAAAGTTAGAAGAAAGAAAGAGGAATGAACTAGCAGAAATGGGGATACAAATAGCAAACCCTAGAAGGGTTGTACTCGCTATAGAGCACCCCACTACAGGCTAGAACATAAGAATAATATTCTGACAGGCGTTAGGTGCGAAGGTAGTTAGTTCGAATCATGCTGAAGCTGCTTTTTCGAGTCATTGCTATAAATATCAATTACCACAGGTTTTTATAAAAGTATTCGCACTTGTAGAAAATTGTGTACACGTCGTTATGTAAAATGTAAAAAATTGTGTACATATCTTTATGTAAAATGCTTCGCAACCCTAAGACGATTTCGTCGCCTCTTGTTTTACTTACAAGAAGCTCTATTTATCACCCATTGTTGCTGCATATCATGACGTTACGGAACAGTCCGGTTCTGATCACCTCTGGGGTTTCATGCTTCGCGCCAGAAGTGCGGCTGGATCATTTCTTGAGCGGCCCAGCAATTGTCCCTACCATTCCCGAGACTGGTCACGAGGGATCGTTGTCAGAGCTTTAGTCCAATAGACGCACAGCTTCCATGTGCTAGTGGTGTTGATCCACCCGCCTCTCCGAGCCACAAACAGGGTGCCACCAACGCAAATCCACGTCCGTGCGATGTTCGCAGCCTCGCTAGCGAAACTCTCAGCAACGCTGGCGAATTCACGTGTATTGGCGGTGCGTTTGTTGGTGAGTGCATTCGGGGTTACTGCAAGTTTGCAATTTCTAGGTTCCCCTTGGTCTACCCTCCAGACCGCACCGCTCCTACCCAGACATTGTCAGAAGGAGCGCATACTTCTGAAACAGCTACCAATGGTTGTCCTGTGGAAAGTTTTGGGTGTGGTACAGGCCTGTCGCTTGCAGGGAGTTTGCCCTGCTGGACCTTGAATTCCAGGGCTGGGTTGCCCTTGAAAACTGAAATTGATGGGTTGAAAAATTTGTGGCCCTGATTCCTTACAGGGCTGATTTCGGGCTTAGGTCTGGAGTGTTAAGGGTAGATTTTTACGAGCCCTGGAACAAAATCTTTTCGAACTTGCCCTCCCACTCCTCTCCCCCTCCCCCCAAACTCCTCCACTCCCCCTCCCCCCGTTTCTATTTTGATTGCATTCAAACCTGTCTAATTTGGAGTTGCGTGGCTGGGCCACAGATTCAACTCAACATACAACTGGTACTTGTACCAATCACAACCTCGCTCCCATCCCACGACACACAGACAGTAGCGTGAACCAACATGCAGCAGCAAAACACATCTCAGATCCCCGTCATGCAGTCCACCAGCAGGCATGAATGGGTAGAGCAGCAGCAAAACACATCTCAGATCTTTGCTAAGAGCTGGAAGAGGGGAAGTCTGTACGCGTGCGTAGTGAATGACGCTACTAGTTTTTCTATTGCTAACTAGCTTATTAATACTTGCGGACTGCAGCTGTCAGCTTTGTGGTAGAAATGAGGCTGCAGAATTTTCCGCGCCAAACCTGATTTACAGGGAGAAATCAATTTCAGCCCTGAAGCCTAAAGGGCCAAATTCGCCCCGACCCTGCTAAATACAGGGTCGTACATGCCGGGCCCCCTGATTTGTCCGGGGGGCCCAAAACGAAACGACAGCCCTGGTGTGGTACATCAGCTGAGGGCTACTAATCGAGGTTGAACATGGTGTGCAATGTGTTAGTAGGATTCTGGGTGTTGCACTACGGTGGTCGCTCGAACAGAGCATTTTCCCTAAACTTGTTATTCCTGTTCTTCCAGCTAGATCACGTTTCCCCCAACTCCTCGAATCTTGATTACCGAACTTGCCTAATCCCCTCCTTCGTACCATCTAAGCCGTCCAGCTCGACTCTCTCGAAATCGTACGCGTGTTTGGACGTCTCTTACTCGTGTGTAGACCGTTGCTAAATATCGTTCAGATACTTGCCGTTTCTCGTGTCCGTCCTGTTCTGCTTCGCTGCGCTGATGTAGGTCGTTCGGATTAATCTCTGCTCTAGATTTACGCGTCTGGATCCTGTGACTGGATCATTTCAGATTCTCGTTACTCCGCCATGGAACCATTCTTACTTAACGACTGGTTACCATACAGACCGCATAGGTAATAACAGATATTAGGTCCATAGTAACGTCCGTGTTTCACCAGCATATGTCTCGAGCTGACCAGCATTGATCTCTCTTGATCTCGCCGTCAAAACGTTTCATCGATCGGCACTTGGAAATATTGGTGGGAGAATCTTTCAGAGAAGCGTGATCCGCGGCGGGTGCGGTTATTGTCTGACGCCGCCCGCCTCGTGAAGCATGCAGGCGGCACGATCGCGAAGCGTGAACGGGAAGAATCCATGGGTTACCGTGTCGTCGGACGTCGCGAGCCTCGCATCCGGCTGCACGCTGGATGGCATCTCGGCTTGCGGCGGCAATATCTCTTTGCCGCTAACAAATGCAGCGGCAGGCGGTGGACCTATGCTTACTGTACCGTCCGGAAGTGTTTCAGGAGCCAACACTCCCTCGCATCTCGGGCAGCCGAAAATAAACTTCACGCGAACGGCGTCGAAGACGAGCCTGCATATGAACCAGAGCCGGAATCCGATCACCTTGCTGATGCGCATGTCTGTGCCGCAGTTTCTCTTCCTCGTTGCCGTTTCGTTAAGCCTCCTCGGCGTTCTTATGTTTCGCGACGTGATTCGATCCGCGTGGATCGGCGAAACGCAGTCTGGATCGCTGTGGCCACAACCGGAGCCGCTTATACAGGAGCATTCGGGCCAGGCACCGTCTGACTTATCCGGAACCGGCTTTCTTCGTAGAGGTCGTCAACAAGCAACGGGCGTCCTTATATCGCGTATGAAGCAAGGATCAGCGCGGTTAGCGTCCCGCGGGCTGGATCAGCTCCCTCTGTATCGCCGGCTGGAAGCGGCTCTGGTCGTCTGCAAGCAGCAGTTATCTGCCTGCATGCCGTCACTTTTAAACTGTCGCCGGCTGAATGGCAGTCAGGGTCGTGACGTCGCCCTCCCAAGCGCCCAAGGGCTCGGTCCCGGTCGGCCTATCATTGCGGAAGAACGGAGCCGGGGAGGCGCAGGGGGGAGAAGCGATGGGGACGATGGGGGAACCAGTGAGTTGGAGTGCGAAGATAGCGCGGGCGTGCAGCGGTGTGTGACAATAGCGGAGTCGTGCAAGCGCGTGTCGTTGCTGTTCCAGAAGGAGCGCGGAAATGCGGCGGGGAAGGGCGTGGGAGGTCGAAGCGACGCGGCAGGTGGTGCTGGTGAGTCAATTGCCGATGCATGTTTCCCGCACCTCACCTGCGTCGGTATCAAATGGCTGGGCCCTGGTGGACCTTCATGTCCCCTCGTGAGTCTCTTCCGAGAGATTGTCAGCAGTCGTGATTGGTGGCCTTGGCAAGCTGCCTGACCTCTCTGTGTGATTTAGGGTAGGCAGATGAGCGAGCGCGTTCCTGCTGTGAGCTGTTCGCGGTGCGAAACGATGCGAGGCGGTGCGATTCGGTGAGAAACAGTGGGAGACGGTGCGAGACGGTGCGATACGAGGCGAGATAACGTAACCAGGTCGGAGGCAGCGGAGTCAAGAGGAAGCACCAGGGAGTGAAATGGAGGAGAGGGAGCTGCTGCTGGTGCACTGTCGTGTGTAAGAGTTCACGAGCTGGAGCGCGAAAGAGTGTAGGGGAGCGCGAGCGCGAAAAAATGTAGGGGAGCGCGAGTGAGTGTGGGTGCATGCTGCACCACGTAACCCCCTGGGCTTGGCACGGGGAAGGGAAGTAATGGTGCAGCGCAGGGGAGGCACGCAGACAAGCATCGGATTCGGCTGAGCGCGGAGCTGACGTTCTCTCTATAGGCCTACTCGTATGCATGCGTGATGTATCATCTGGCTGGCCTGTCGTACCCACGGTCAGCCTCTCTGCGTCCGTGCGGCTATACGTGTAATACCTGTCTACCTCTCTGCCGCTCTGACTATCCGTGCCCCCGTGCTGCTCGCAGGGGAAGGGGATTCTCAACGGGGAAACACGACGCAGGGCAGGTTGGCTGCGCCTGGAGTTGTGGAAGCGGGCTGCGAGCCCTTTGGCATGCCCTACCGCAATGCGTGCCTCTGCCCCGCCCTCAGGCCAGGTACCGTGTGTCTCTTCCTCCCTGGCGTTGGCATTTCCCGAGTAACCTTGGATTCACCTTGAAAAACCTTGGGTGAACCTAGAATAGCCTTGTATGAACCTCCAATAACCTTGGATAAACCTTCGATAACCTTGGATACACCGCGAGTAAACTTCTCTACCACCCCAAGTAACCTTAGCTGCACCTCGAATAACCTTGTCGCCTCTGATACGATGGATTGGGCTCGTCTGGTCATGTTCGCATGTCCCATAGCCTCCCTGTCAATCCCTCCACTCTTTCCCCATCCCCCCTTCCCTCTCCCCCCCCTTTCCACTCCCCCCTTCCCCCAGGCACCCACGCCTGCGCGCCATTCCGCCTGGAGGGCGAGCGGGCAGCGCAGGGGGGCGAGGTGCAGGGCGGGCTGTCTCTGTACGTGCCACAGCCGTTCCTGGGGGACTTTATTGTGTCAAGGAATGGGTTGGACGAGCTCACTCCGCCCACCCAAAGCAACGACACAGCCGTGCCTCTCCTTAGGTATGGATGTGCGTGCTGCTGCCTGTGCGCGCTGCTGCCTGTGCGCGCTGCTGCCTGTGCGCGCTGCTGCCTGTGCGCGCTGCTACGTGTGCATCCTGCTGCGTGTGCGAACTGCCTGCTGTACCTGTCGGGGCGACAAGGCCTGTGAGTGCCATGCCAAGCACCCTCCTCGTGGACGTCATTGCATTCAGCATCAGAAAGGGCGAGCTCCGTCCGCCCAGGCAAACAAAGGAATCCCATCTTGGTTTTCTCCCCATGCGAGCGGCCCCCTGCATGCAATCCGCTCCGATCCGCCTCTCCTCTCTTCTCCTTTCCATCACCCATCTCGTGTCTGCCTCCCCTTCGCTACCCTCTCCGCCCCCGCCGTCCCCTTTTCCGCCCTTAGCCCCCAAACCCACTCACCCACCTCGCACTGTAATCAGCGCTGGCATCCATCCGCTCCCTCTTCCACGGGTTTCATTGCAACACTGTTTCCCTCCCGCGCCCTCTCGCACAGTTTCAGCATGACACCCTCCCTTCTTCGCCCCATGTGACATTTAGTCCCGTCCCCTCCTTATCACACTGCCCCCCCGGCACTCACAGAATCACCTCACCCTGAACCCCTTGTCTCTGTGCCTCCGTCCGTCGCTGTCCCACATGATTCCCTTGCCCTGTCGCAGCAACACAGTGAGCACTCTTGCAGACGAGCCACAGCGCCTCATACAGCAGCCGCAGCAGGGGCAAGCGCAGGAGTTGGGCGTGGTGAGAGGGGAGCAGCAGGGTGGGGAGGTACGGAGGGTGGTGATAGAGGGGCCGGGGATGAAGGCAGTATGGAAGGCCATCAAGCCGCCCAAGACCAAAGGGCTGCGGACTAAAGGCCTTTTCCCCACAGTAAGTGTCAGCGATTTTTCTGCCCGCCTCTTTCTCTGCCTCTGCCTCTGCCTCTACCTCTGCCTCTGCCTCTGCCTCTTCCTCTGCCTGTGCCTCTGCCTCTGCCTCTGCCCCTGCTTCTGCCTCCTTCTCGTCGTGCAGCCTGTCACCCACATGTGCTTGTTCCTCTGATTCGTACCTATCTCCCTATCTGACTCCTTGCATGCGGGAATGAATCCCTTCAAACAGCTTGTTTCTGCGTCGCTCCCTCGCTGACCCATGACGTCACCCCATGCTGTCCCCTCCTATCTCCCACTTGCCAGCAGCAGCCAGCAGTAATGCCTGGTTTTACTGCTCTGCTCTTTCCCTCGTGACCCTGCGCTGCTTTCCCAACCCGCTTTCCCTTCTTGCATGCTGCTCTCCTCCCCATTCCTGAATCGTCCCTGCATTGTTGCATCACATCCTCTCCCCCGACCTACTCACTCCTCTCTCCACCTCGCTTCTCCTCCTTGCTCCTCAGCTCTGCCATTCCCCTCCATGCCCCTCGATACCCTTCCATGCCCCTCAATGCCCCTCCACATCCCTCCACACTCTTCCAGACCCCTCCACACCCCTCCGTATCCCCTCCTCTTCCCACCACGCGCCTGCATGCAGGCAGGCAGTATGGGGGGGCGAGTGTTCCAGAACTGCGCTGTGGTGGACGACTCAGCAGCGCTACTCACTCCTCTCCGCCCCTCTGTTCCCCTCTGTGCCACTCTCTGCCCCTCCATACCCCTCCATACCCCTCCCCTCCATACCCCTCCAAACCCCTCCCCTCCATACCCCTCCGTATCGCCCCCCGTGGCTCCACCGCGCCTGCGTGCAGGCGGACAGTGTGCGGGGGCGGGTGTTCCAGAGCTGTGCAGTGGTGGGCGAGTCAGCAGCGCTCCTGGCACTGCCGTGCGGGGCGCACATTGACCGCCATGAAGCCATCTTCCGTGTGGGGGCAGCTGCTGCGCGGCCCTGGAGCAGTTTCGTGGGGTCACGGGTGAGTAGAGTGCGGTGATGTGCGGTGCGATGTTGTGGTGAACTGAGTTGGTCTGCACTGGGCCGGGCTGCACTGGGCTGGGCTGGGCCGGACTGGATTGGACTGGACTGGACTGGACTGGACTGGACTGGACTGGACTGGACTGGACTGGACTGGACTGGACTGGACTGGACTGGACTGGACTGGACTGGACTTGACTGGACTGGACTGGGCTGGACTGGGCTGGACTGGGCTGGACTGGGCTGGACTGGGCTTGACTGGGCTGTGCTGTGCTGTGCTATTCTCTTTGTTGTTTCCCACACATCCAACCCTTTTGACAACAGCCAGCTTATGGCCCACCGCCTGGCCTCCTTCACTCCTTCCAGGTGACCCATCTCCTTACGTCCTTATCGCATTTCGTCCTTACCTCCTTGCGGCCTTGCCTATTCATCCCCTCCCCTCCACTCCCCTTACCTCCCTGGCTGCATGACTGCCTGCCGAGTGCCTGCCTACCTGCCGATCTGCCGATCTGCCTGCCTGACTGCGCACTTTTCTTCCCTCCTTAGCCACTCGCTTTGTAGTGCTTGGATGTGTGTTATCCCTTGGTTGCTGCCCCTCCCTCGTGGCCTCTGCCTTGCATTCCTATACCCATATTTATGGGAGAAATTTCAAGATCCACACACTACAAAGATCTCTAAACCCTAAATGGCCCCAACATCCATACTCGTTCTTTCAATCTTAGAGTGGAGTTAGCCGGTCCCCCGAATTCCCGTCCACTCGCTTGTCCATTCCCTCCTGTACTCTCTCCTCACACCGTCCACTCCCCCCCTTCCCCCCTCTCCCCCCCCCTGCAGACGAGCATAAGGGTGGTGGGGCCGGAGGAGCAGGAGGGGGCGCGCGAGGTGAAGCGCGAGATGGTGCTGGTGGCGGTGCAGTCAGAGAGGGGCATGCGCCAGTACCTCTCCTACCGCCGCCGCAAGTGAGCTCGCCTTGCCGCTTGCTCTTTCCCCCCATCTCCCTCCCGCTCTCAATCACTCCCTCCCTCTTTCCTTTCCCCCCCTCTCCCATCTCCCTCTCTCACGCTCGCACACTCACTCTTCCTTTTTCTCTTAACCCAGGGCATTCTTGCCTCCTACTTCCTCCTCATGTTTCCTTCATGTCATTCCCTCACCTCCTCCCTCTCGCCCTCTCTCTTCCTGGAACTGTCCAACCCTTGCCACACACTGATAGCAATCCCCGCGTGCTCAAACCCGCACCTCTCCCCTCCTCAATCCCACTCCCCCATTTTCCTGTTCCCTCGCTCCTCACTCTCCTGCTCCTTCCATCCCCACTCCCCTGCTCCTTCAATCCCCACTCCCCTCCCCTGCAGCACCACGAGCAAGCACGAGCGGCACCACTGCCTGTCGCCTGCCTTCCTCACATACGCGCGCTCTCAGGCCCGGCACTTAGACCGCCTCATGGGGCACAGCCATGCTGCTGCTGCTGCTGCTGCTGCTGCTGGAGGAGGGGGGGGGAGGGGGGGGCGGGATGGGGCGGGTGCGCGGGAAGGCAGCAGTGCAGTGGAGGTGGAAGGGGGAAGAGAGGGAGGAGGTGGGGGAGGCAAGGAGGATGGGCTACCAGAGGTGTCGGAGGGATGGACGGCTCTTATGCTTGCACTCAACACGTGCAGACGGGTACTGGCTCGAACTCTCATGCTACCATGTTGGTGTTACTTTTGAGAATTCTCAAAGCAAAACCAACATAGCAGATGGGTACTGGCTCGGATTCCCGTGCTGCCCTTTCCCCTTCTACAGTCTATGCCGCATTTGTGCCTTTTCCCCCTTCCCTAGTAATTTCCAGTTTGATAGCTCTGTTATTGTTACCTTCTACTAGTAGACAAGCACGTCACTGTTGCATCTACGCCGCCACAATCCTGCTTCCTGGAAGGATTGTGGAGCTACGCACTCTCCATCCTCCTCACACTGTGCCGTGCACCCACACTCCTGCCCCCAGGTGACAGTGTATGGGTGGCCGTTGAGTGAGCAGCAGACGGCAGCGCAGCGGGGAGGGGACACGCTGCTGCTGCCGCAGTCCTATGCCACGCGGTGCCTTGTCACTGACCACCACTCGCCCCAGGACCGCCGCCGCCTGCTAGCTGTGCTGCACACCGGTGTCGCCACTCTCGGCATGCCCTGCGCCCTCGGTGCGTGTCCTCCAAGGCTCCACTCCTCTTTCCCTCCCTCCCTCCCTCCCTCCCTCCCTCCCTCCCTCCCTCCCTCCCTCCCTCCCTCCCTCCCTCCCTCCCTCCCTCCCTCCCTCCCTCCCTCCCTCCTGCCCTCCCTCCCTCCCTCCCGCCCGCCCTCCCTCCCTCCCTCTCTCCCCCCCTCCCTACCTCCCCCCCTCCCTCCCTCCCCCCCTCCCTCCCTCCCCCCCCCCCCTCCCTCCCTCCCTCCCTCCCTCCCTCCCTACCCCCCTCCCTCCCTCCCTCCCTCCCTCCCTCCCTCCCTCCCTCCCTCCCTCCCTCCCTCCCTCCCTCCCTCCCTCCCTCCCTCCCTCCCTCCCTCCCTCCCTCCCTCCCTCCCTCCCTCCATTCTCGCGATCGACATGCTGCCATCGCGCCACAGTGCCCATGCACCACCACGTCTCCATGCTCCATGAGCCCTCTTATTCATCGCCTCCTCATGTCCCCTCTTCTCTTCCCTCCCTCTCCTCCCCCCTCCCTCTCTTCTCCTCGCGGCAAGCAGAGTGCCTGCAGGGCCTCCCCTCGTGCCCACAGTGCATCGGTGATAACCTCAGGTACTCCCCCATCTCCTCACTCTCCCCCCATGCTATCTCACTGTGTGCATGCATGCCGCTTCCCACCCGCAATGCCTTCATGTGCCCCCCTTTCTGCACGTGCCAAGTGTTTCCCCAACCCATGTGTGCGTCTGCCCCACCCCATCATCCCAACAGCACCTCCCACGTGGCAGACGGGTTGCAGCGTTGGCGCATGCTGCCCCTGCCACCCACCGGATGCTCCCCCTCCAACTCCTCCTCCTCCTCCCCGTCCTATTCATCCGCCTCTTTACTTGCCAATCACCAAGTCTCACCACAGCAACCCGTCAATTCCCCATCGGTAGCATCACATACGCGTGCATCCCCTAGCACATCCATACAGCAAGCCAACAGTGCAGGCAGCCCTGCAGAGGGGTATGCTGCTGATGGGGACTCAGACTCGCCACTTGACCGGACAGCCACAAGGGAGGTGGGAGTAGCAGCCATGCAGCTGCCTTCGTGGATGGACACAGGCTTACCTCACGACGTATCGTAGGTCACGGTTCTCCTTGCATTGGCACGGTGGCATTGTACCTCTTCTCAGTTTGTAACTGTAGCTTGTGCGATGCCACACCGTGCTCCTAGTTTTTGTCCTCTTTGTTGTCTTTTCTCACACATCGAATATGCCAGTTGTCCTTTAGTGCACTAACATTGTATGCAGCCCTGGGTGTGCGCATTTGCACTAACTTAAGGTATTGTTTCAACCATGCATAATTCTACGGTACTAGGGAAGGTACCTTTTGTCAGAGGTGCACTGGAGATCCCCGATTGACAATAGGAAAATGTTACAGATACGTCAGCTTGGGGGTGTATGGTCGCACTCGCCCGCTACACAACAAGCCCTTTTATCCCAGTGGTTTGGTTAGTGACTGAGATTCTGACATAATATCAGGGTACATTCAAGACGGAATATATCTGTTGGAGTATGTGTTGGAAACAATCGGCCCTAAGCGCCTCTGTCGTGTCGAAACACTAAGGCACAAGCGAAACAAAGCATATCGAGGCACCAGCGAGTCAACCCTCGGAGGTTGAAGTAACCGCTGGAGGTTACGCGTTAGTCAAAGGTCAGCGACCTTTGACCTGACAAATACAGCGCGACAGCAAGGACACACAACTGACTCGTTACAAAGCAGTTGCCCAAGTCGTCACTGTATCAAACCGCAACAGCAACAGTAAAGTAGTTATAAGTGTGTCTTTTCATATTCCCTGTATTCATATATAATCTTGTATCTCTTTGCTTTAATCAACTTACTTTGCCCTCATATACTAGCGCAAGGTGGTTCACAACTCTTTATTAACGCTTCCGCTACTACACCAACTCTACCCAGAGTTCACCCCTGCAAAGATCCTAAGGGCTTTTTCAGCCCAACATGGTATGAGAGCTACCAGGGGGAATTCAACTTCTATACCAACAGTATCAATCAGCATGGCTACACAAAAGGAAAGGAGCAACTCCAATGGCTCCCAGGGCACTACTCCTACTCCACCTCCTACCTCTGGCCTACAGACAGAGGAGGGCACGGCAACAAGACCCAGAGCAACATCCACCGAGACTCCCGCGAATCAACCTGCAGACTTCGACCAGAGCATGATGGAGAACTTTTTCTCCTTCATGTCCTTCTACGAGCAACACCAGCAATCGGCACCTGCGCAGTCACACAACAGCAACAACAACGGAGCAACACCCATGAGTCTCGACGGCTCATCATATGCACGAGGAAATCAGCAACAGCAGCCTACCTTTGCTCCGTACGAGCGCGGGTCCATCAGCTTCATGCCACACCCACAGCCCTCACCTGGACAAGAAAAACCAGTGGACGCATTACAAGTTCAGTCGCAGTTCGCACACGTTCTGAAGATGCAGACGTCAAGACCCTTTGATGGAAAGGACTTCTTCACCTAGTCGTTCGAGTTTGAGCTGATGATGGAAGGCGCGCAGATACTCGGGTTCTTCGACGGGTCTCTGCCATACCCAACAAACGGCACACAGTACGAGAAGCAGCAGTACACCTATCAGTCAATGATGGCGTACACGATCCTACTGAGGAACATCACCCCGACTCAACAGCGGAACATAAGGACTTACCGAGGTTACGGTAACTCCGCGGAGCTCGCGTACAACCACCTGAAGAGCCTGTATCAAGCAACAGACAGCGTAAGTCAAAGTCGGTAAATGATGCAACTGACAACGGTTGAAATGAAACCAGGGGAGAAAGGAATGGCGTATATGAGTCGATGTCGCGAGTTGCGCGACAAGCTTCTTCAATGCGGAGGGTCGATTTCTGAAGACGCCTTCGTGACAGTCATCATCCGCGGCCTCGGTCCTCAGTGGCGCACCACAAAGTGTCAGATTTATATGACATAGCTACTGTAGGCTATAATGGGGTAGCACATATGGGGTACAGCTTTCTAGGGTTTGCATTTACCCAACTTTCCCTAAGTCATTTTCATTCTCGTTCAATTTCACATGGTATCGAGCAGGTTCCCCTGTGGGAACTGTTCCTAGGGCCCACCACCTTTATTTTTTCCTGCCCGGAGCGCGCTCTACACTGCCCGAGTCGCGCTCCCCTCTCACGGCTCCGTCGAGCCGCCCTTTCGACCCTTTCGCGTCGCGCTTGCGGCCCCGTCGCGTCGCCCTCGCGGCCCCTTCACGTCACGCCGCCCTAGCGGCCGCGTCGCGCCGCCCTCGCGGCCCCGATCCGCCGCCCTCGCGGCTCCGTCGCGTCGCGCCGCCCTCGCGGCCCTTTAACGCCGCCCTCGCGGCCCTTTCTAGCCGCCCTCGCGACCTCTTCAAGCCGCCCTCGCGACCCCCCCCCCTCCTAGCCGCCCTAGCGGCCCCGTCGCCTACCCCTGCGGCCCCGGCGCCGCCCTTCCCTGCCTCGGCGCCGCCTCTGCTGGCCCCGTCGCCTACCCCTGCGGCCCCGGCGCCGCCCTTCCCTGCCTCGGCGCCGCCTCTGCTGGCCTCATCGCCTAGCCCTGCGGCTCCGACGCCGCCCTTCCCAGCCTCGGCGCCGCCTCTATTGGCCCCGAAGCCGCTCCACCCGGCCCCGACGCCGCTCCACCCGGCCCCGCCGCCGCTCCACCCAGCCCCGCCGCCGTCCCCACGTGGCCCTGCCGTCACCACCGAGCCGCCAGCGCCGCCGAGCTGCTGCGGAGCCGCCCGATCCACCCGAGCCGCCTGAGCTGCCGCGCCACCTGCGCCGCCCGAGCCACCGGGTCGCCGAGCCGCCGAGCTGCACTTGCTGCCGAGCCGCTGTGCCGCCGAGCCGCCCGAGCCGCCCGAGCCGCCCGAGCCGCCGAGTCGCCGAGCCGCAAGTGCTGCCGAGCCGCCGTACCGCCGAGCCGCCCGAGCCGCCGAGTTGCCGAGCCGCCGAGCCACCGAGCCGTCCGAGGCGCCCTGTCCGGTAAGAGCAGCGCCTCTGTCACAGCACTGCCCTTACCCTAGTGTTCGCGCTGCTAGTCTACTGCTGTCATGGCTACCCCTAGTGTCCTCGCTTTTGACGCTGAGGGTCGGGCCATTGACTTTGACGTCTGGGTAGATGACCTGCAGCTTTTCCTACAGTGCGATAGGGTAGACGGTCTCTCCCTCTTTGACCTCACCTCTGGTGCCTCTCCTGCCCCTGCTGCTGATGCCGACGCCACTGTTCGCTCACGCTGGGCCACACGTGATGCTGCTGCACGTCTTGCTGTGCGTCGCCACCTGCCTACCTCTGAGCGTGCGCACTTTAGCAAGTACAAGAGTGCTCAGACCTTGTACGACGCTGTAGTTGCGCGCTATTCCTCCCCTGCCACTGCTTCACTGAGCCGCCTCATGCTACTGTACCTCTTCCCTGACCTTGCTGCCTTTCCCACAGTCGCTGACCTCATTACGCACCTCCGCACTAGTGACACTCGGTACCGCGCTGTGCTTCCTGCTGAGTTCTGCGCCAAGAACCCCCCCCCCCCCCCCCAGCCCCCCCCATGTACATCACCCTCTACTACATAGTCACCCGGCTCCCTGACTCCCTTAGCGTAGTCAGAGACCACTTCCTCTCAGTTTGCCCCACCACTCTCACCGTTGACCTCCTCGAGAAGGCCCTCGTACTGGGAGTACTGGAGCTGCTGGGCCTGCGGGTACGACTGGAGCGGGACCTGCTAAGGGTGTTGGCGCTGAGGCTATTGCTGTCGGTCTTGGAGGAGATCCTGCTGGGGGTGCTACTGGTGCTGCTGGAGGTACTGGAGCTGGAGGTGCTGCTGGCGCTGGTGCTACCGCTGGGGGTACTGGTGCTGTCCCTGCTGTGTCTGGAGTCGCCGCGCGTCCTCGGCCGTACTTCGTTCCGCTCCTTCAGCAGGTTCTTGGTCTCCCTGTGAGAATAGGAAAATAGGAATGAATGAACTATGAATGAAAGCAGTACAAATATGAAACCCTAACTGGGTTGTACCCCCTATGGGATACCCCACTACAGCCTACACAGCAGTATAAGCTATAGATATGTTCTGACACACCCCCATAGGCAAAGTGGGGGAGAACAAGGGGTCACAAGACCAGTCAAGCAAGACAAAGCAAAGCTCAGGGTGGATCACAAAGTCACCACACAGTCCGAGCACAAGAGCAAGGCCAAAGGCCAGTTCACAAGCAAGAGTACAGACATATATATAAAGCTAGACAAGCAAGAGCAGGTATATATATATGTCACAGTACAAGTGAAGTCAAGAGGAGAGCAAGTGAGGCAAGACAGGTACAAGACCCAGCTGGGTGCAGAAGCGCTGATGGTCACAAGGCGCAAGTGCCTTGGTGAACACATCAGCAGTGTTGGCCTCAGAGGCCACGTACGCAAGTCGCAACTGACCACGCTGCTGCAGCTCACGAGCAAGGAAGTAGCGGAGAGCAATGTGCTTCGTTCTGTGCTCCAAGCGCTGCTCTCGACACAAGGCCAGCATAGCCTTGTTGTCTACGTACAGCACTGGAGGAGAACGAGGCGGCTCTCCAAGGTCAGACAGCAGGTAGGTGAGCCAGCGAAGCTCCTGTGCAGCCATGGCCCCGGCGTAGATCTCAGCCTCACAACTGGAGCCGAGAACCGAAGACGAGCGAGTAGACCGCCACGAGACAGAGCCGGAACCAAGGCTGAAGGTGTAACCCTGTGACGACCGCTGCGTAGCCTGGTCGTCAGCCCAAGAAGCGTCCGCGTGGCCGGTAAGGACCACTGGACTCCGCCCTCCAAGCACTAGCCCCATGCCTGACGTACTGCACAGGTAGCGCAATACCCTCTTCGCTGCAGCCATGTGCTCCGGTCTGTGTCTCCCAGGAGCAACATAGCGTGCAAGAATGCTCAGAGGGTATGCAAGGTCAGGTCGTGTGCAGGTCATCAGGTACATGAGGCAGCCAACAAGCTCCGCATACGAACCACTCGACTCTACGGACTCATCCGAAGGCAGAGCTGAGAGTGAGTGGCGAGTAGGCAGAGGAGTGGCCTGAGGCGAGGAGAACGTGAAGCCGAAGCGTTGAAGGACCTGCTG